TAAACGTATGGGCAGGAATAATTGATAAATTTTTAATTGGACCTTTTTTTCTTGATGGGAAACTAACAGGCACAAAGTACATTGATTTTTTTGAGCACGCGTTCACACGAAATATTAGAAGAAGTTCCAGTTCGATATTAGACTTCGTATGCGGTTTATGCATGATGGAGCTCCGCCGCATTTTAGTCGAGTGGCTAGGCAATTTTTAACTCAACACTTTGCAAATAAATGGATTGATCGTGGAGGTCCAATTGCATGGCCTGCTCGTTCTCCGGATTTGAATCCATTAGATTTTCATTTGTGAGGACATTTAAAATCTATTGTATACGCAACATCGATTGAATATGCTGAAATACTACGAAATAGAATAGAGCAAGGCTTCCGACAAATTCGAGAAACACCACGAATGATAGAGAGAGTAACCAGATGAATGACAAGACTCGTGCAGGCTTCAAATGCAAGGTGGTCATTTCGAGCATCTTTTGTAAAAGTAATTAAAACAGAAAATTCATTATGTCTCATAAACGAAGACGGATAGGACATATATTTATATGACTTTTTTTTTCATTATTTTTAAACGTACAATCAGCTGCCGAAGTGGGTCTCACAAGTTACTGCATAGTAATACATAGTATAAGAACCGATTTGAAAGAGGCGACCGTGACATTGGGCCGAGATTTTTCCTCGATGGAAAGATGGAGCGATTGTTCCGCGGAGCCAGCGTTTCCGGCGCCTCACTCTCACGATCGAACTGTTCGATTTCTTGCTCGAACTGCTCGCGGATCTCGCCACGAATCCAATTCAGTCGTTTCCTCGGAGGTATCCGGATAACCGTGGCGAGGAATTTTTCTTCGCTGCAGATAATGGAACCCGTTCCTCTCCTCCGTTTTCTGCCGCATCACCGTGCGCAACCATGCTGCTCTTCTCGCAGTTACTTCGATAATACGGTTCTAATGTTTCTCGCCTCTCCGGTCACCGGCTTCGGGACCTTTTCACTCTTTTCTTTCATTTTTTTTTTTTTTTTTTCTCCCTTTCCCCTTTTTTGATTCTGGTACAGATCGTTACGTGCTCTGTCGTAGGTTTCCTCCTCTTGTCCGATGGTGACGCGACTTTTTTTTGACCCGTGGAAAATAAGATCTCCGGGAGAAAGTTTAATTAAGTTCGAAAATGCGAAGCATACGGTGGCTCGGCTCGGTTCACGCTCGATTTTTCGGGATCCGTTGCGTGTAGGCTTGCGGCATTGTGAGGATACGACGAGACGTGTACAGTGTTGCGCAAAAGTCTGTCCGATCCATTAGATAGAAGCAATTCAGTTTTAATAATGAACGAGAGGAGAGTTTGATTTTTATTTCAACTATCAGAAAGAGTTAAATATTAGAGATTACTTTAAAAAATATTCTTTTGTCGCTTTGACAAGCGCAGGACAATGATGCTCCAATAATTTTTGTAATTCTGTTAATAATATCTCTATTCTGATTTTCACGAAATTAAATTCTGTTCATATTAATATAAACATAAACATAAATTATGTTATTTTATAATATAATTTATGTTTATGTTTATTATATTACATAAATTCTTTTTAACTAAATAAAATCTTATCTAACATAAATTTATATAACATTTATATAACATAGATTCTGTTTTGTTCTCTAAAAAAAATTTTTTTTTTTTATGTTCTATGATATTTATAAATTTCAAAAAATCCAAGAAAATGTCTGTCAGTGTAAAACTTTTGCAGAGCAGTGTACTCTCCACTCTTGGGGAGAGGTTAAACCATCAGAAGGTATTAGATACCTGAACAGAATCGTATCCATTTTTATTCCACCGATGTTTGCCTTGCCTTGATACACCGTGCAGGTGATTTATCGCGCGGGATCCCAGAACCGTGAAAATATTTCGCGGGAAAGTTCACTGTTACGCTTTTTAACTAACGAAAAAACGACGGAGGATACCCCGATTAGAATCTTGTGCGTGAAAAACCTCGTGTAATTTTTTCTACAGTGTATCCGAAATAACAAAAATAACAAAATATTAATATTAACTTAAAAATTGGAAATAATTTGCCCATCAAACCGAAGACTTATGTCAGTAAATCACGTAATTGTCTGTTGAAGTTTTCGAAAATATTGAAAACGCTACAGCTGCGCAAACACGCAATCATCAGGTGAAATCGTTCAAAGTACACACTGCTCTCTGACCCCTTTTTTTCTTCTCCAAATTACATTTATACGTGCGCAATATTAATTTGGAGATCAAACAGAGTCTTGTGTTCAAGGATTATTCATGTAATATATTACAAAATGAAGTGGCTCACGAAAGCGTGGCTCTACTTATTCAATGTTTATAAAAAATTTTTATACATTATGCTGTGCAAAATTTTGTTAACATTATGCATTTATACATTGTGCTTGTATGTGAAAAATGTTTCTTTGAATACAATAATGACAGTCTCACATTAAGTATTAGCAAAGTTTCAAAAAGTTTCAAACGTCCTAATGCTTTCGTGAATCACCATATGCCGTGCGCTACTGTAATTATCGCAACCGTAACGCGCATTGAAACAAATTATACCATTTACACCTTCTTTATTACACATTTTTCCACGCGCGATATCCAATTAAATTGACACTCTGGAGACATGTCACCCGATAATCATTGAATTGCCTATGACTGTAATTAGTCCCGCGTTTGTTAATCGGTTTGCCACGTCAGACGGTCCGATATCGAAACGTTAATTAGAGCCGATTAGAGATCACTCGCGATCAAGGGCCATTAACGTTAACGTGAGTGATGCAACTACACAAATTGGACCACCCTATAGATGGCAAGTACGCGGTACACGTTCAAGCATTCCCCAGCGAACATGATTTGCTTCTCAACTCGCTGTAATTCCAAGTTCAAAGCCACTGTTTCCTTCTTGGTTGCACGCATCCTCTCTTTGACCTCCTCCTCCTCCTCCTCGTCGATCTGGACTTCGTAGCAGACCTTTCTCCGCGTCGCTATCCCGTGACGTAGTGAACGTAGGCTGCCAGCAATTAAGGGCATTCGATAATGATGGAACTGTAAGGAACCAGGAACCCGTGTGTATCTACTTACATTACTCTCTCTCTCTCTCTCTCTTTCTCTCTCCTCTTCTCTTCTGTTTCTTGGTCGGACGTCTTCTAAGCTGCTTAGGAGAGGAGAACAAATCTGTCACTGTCAGCCTGTCTATTCACAATCGTAACCGCGCGCTAACTCGATGAAAAAGGAGAGGACGTGAAGGCAGTTGAAATTGTGGCAGTCAAGCCGCGGATGGGCTTCACGGTGATTTTCAATCGTGTTTTATTCAACCGTACCTGGGGATCTTCTGTTAGCAGCAGCGGCTTGATAGAGCGAAGCCTGGTGAAACGAGCATTCCCGGGTAATTGTGCGGAGATGTTCGCAGCGAGATTCGCGTCGGATATTTTGGATGTCGGGGAGGTTCCAAATTCCAAATAATTTTATAAGGAACTTAGAGTAGCATTTGTTTGTACTTGAAAGGTCAGACCTGAAAAATTGCAAATTCAAATCAAATTGAATTGAATTGAGAGGTGGAAATTTTCCGAAATTTTACCAAAATTTCGTTTCATTTCAGCTTTCCCTAATTTTGTTTCAACACCGACTCGATCCTCCTTGAAGCGTCGAGCGCTTTCCCATGGGTGGGTATATCAAACGACTTTTTATCCACCTCTCTTCCCTCCTGGCTTTAAAACGTATAATTTCCAAGGCTCGAGCGTATCTTTAAGAAACGAAAATTACAGATTGAAACTGGAGATAGGCGGCAGCGATAGGTTTTCGGAGCGGAACGACGCGCGAGCGTGACGAGAGGGGGAAATTTTTCGATTCTACAGTTTGACATGGAATTCGCTCGACGCTTGAGGTATTTGTTCAAGGATCTGAATTCTATCAGGCTTCGCAATCGTCGCCGATGCTTCCCGATGGATTGCCTGGAGAGCGCCTGGTGAATATTATCCCTCCGTCTTTCTCGCTCTGTCCCGTTACCTCTCTCCACTTTTTTTTATTTTTTTCTTTCTTTTCTCTCATCCACCTTTCGAGGACTCTCTTCCTCGAGTAGAACGTAGCACGTGCTCGTTTCTCAGCGTGCGTAGTCGATGGGCGCGATTTTCGAGGGTAAAAAAAGAAAAAAAACTCGATGTTCCAGCGCGGGGACAAGGCTAAAAGCACGACACACATCGGATTACGTGTCTGAGAAGAGGAAGGAGCCTGATCCACGGGGGAAAATTTGGAGCCTACTTTATTTCAAAGTCTTTCCTGACCGCGATCCGCCCAATAATTCCGTGATATAATTCACCTTTCCTCAATTTTCAATATCAGATTACAACGCACGAGGACAGCGTTAATTCTGTTTGTTAATTCTGTTACCGTGATCAAACAAATTCACACATTTCGGTGTAACATAATTGAAAATGAAATATCTGACAGAATCTTTGCATTCTAACGTTAATCTTCATCACTCATCGTTGGTTGAGTTGAGAATATAAACCGAATATAAAAATTGTAAGTAAAAGGAATCGCAAAGATGAAAGAAATTTATCAGCTTCGTGCAACCTTGACTCTACCTGACCCTTCGACGATTAGAACCTGTTTATTTTCGGAGATAAAAATTGAAATCAGAAGGAGATACTCGGATCCTCATGTTTCGGTATAAATTAAGCATCTCCCTTTCTCAAGGAGAGCTTAAAAATATCACCCGTCGGACGAATCAATACCGCTCCGCGTCTTTCTTCTTTGTCCATCCAAAAGTCGCGCTGAACATTTATTCGAATGTCTCTTGCCAGCCGTTTTTCGTTGTGCGTCAAGTTTCATTTTCGATCCGGCGCGATCGAGTAACGAGTAAAAGGACGCGTAGAAGAGGAGAGAAAGGACGAGGAGGCGACGCCAAAGGATTATCACAGCCGTGTTGCATAACATGTCGTTGACCACCGCTAGCTGGATTACTCATACTCCGCGTCGGATGACCTTGTATCACAATCGAGCCTCTAACCCGTTCAGGCTAGGCCGATTCCCTCCGAGCCGACGATCCTGGACCAACCGGTGGCCCCGGATTCGAGGGCAATGCACCTTCTCTCCCTAGCTTCGTATCCTCTTCTTCCTCCCTTTCCCTCCTAGAACAATGCCGTATAAAGATCGTGTGTCACGCGTGTCTGTCAGGACTTACACATATTGCCCGCTGGAACATGATAATAAACGTCGGACAAACATCTTTGCGAATGCATTCGCAATTGAACGCGATGGTCAATCAGATCGACGTTTTGACGATTTGCAAGATTCGCTTTGAACGAAGGCCGGTACGTTGAGCTTGCTAACTTGGAGAACAAGGTGGAGATTGTATTAGTATACGTGTTCTCGAGTGTAGACGAGTTGAATGTTGTTGAGTTTACTTTTGGATTACTGTCAGATATCATCGTATTTACTTGTTGCCTCCTTTGACAAATCGATTTTATCATCCTTGTTTTATCGTTATTTTTCGCAGTGATTTACTTTCGTTTGCGAAGAAAATCTCGGATAGTGAGAAGATGGTTCCTATTTTCGAAAATATCGTTTCCCAGCTTGATTCAGCGAGTTGAAATTTTAACGTGAACTTCTTCGCGACGAGCTTCAATCTCGTTGACGACATTCGCTTCCAAGAGTTTGCATAATGCAACCGTATCCCTGATCGATCTAATTACGAAAATGAATTATGCATCTGTGATGTCCGTCGTATTTTCACGAACGACATCGATAAAAGTCCATAGTTCCATTTTTTTCATTCTTAAACGGCTGATCCTATAATTTCAAATATTTTTTTAAATTATTACATATCATCAGAACGCAAAACATCGTTATGTTTTACTCACCTAATCGCTATGGTTTTACTACAAAATTGCAATATTTGAGATATACACGGCCGTAAAGTAACAAGAAATGTTCAGTTTCCTGTAATCTAGCGTGATGCGAGAATTCGACACAGAATCAGACAGCATAATGGAATCAATGCTCCTGACGTATCCGGAATTGCAAAGATCTGTCCGATGTGCCTGGATCTATCCCCGGCTGGCAGATATCCACGGAAATGACGCTGTTGCCTAATAAAATAAATCATCCTCCTCCTCGGTGCATCGACCCCGTCGCTGCATCAAACCGTTTGACTGACAGTGTTCCACCTCCGCCGTCGGCTAATTGTCAAATTACAAAGATCGAGAATATCTAATGGACGTGGAACATGGGACGCAGTTCGTCGCCGATTTTGAACGACAGCCTCGCCACCCCACCATCGTGTCGATCGCCACAGCGCAGAAGCGGAACGCGCCCCCACTACTGACCACGGCCAGCAACCCCTACCCTTTTTACACCTGCAACCCTTCCGTCGGTTTCCAAGTTACGTCATTCGACTTCGGGACTCCGGCGGTCGTGGTCCAACGCTTCCGCTTCCGGTTCTCCCCAGTCACGAGGCACAGTTCTCGCTTCGCCAACAGCTGGATCTTGGTAAACCTTTCCCAACTTCTACCGCAACGAATTTTTAGTGATGTGCAGCGCATATAAACGAGTAACACGTTTCATCGTTTAGTTCTGGCGAGATTTGTTGTTTTAGTTACTGCTTGAATTACCTGCTTTGTAGTTTTTGTAGTCTCGAAGCTTCCGTTTCAGTTTGCAGATTTCGCTTTTACTTCTTCTTTTTTTTTTTTTTTTTTTTTTTTTTTTTTTATAACTTGCACCCTTGTTCAGTTACTTCGGTATTTTTGGCACTGCGCCTGTAAATGTATTGTAGATTTAACTTTTGTCTTGTTGCTCGTGCATGATAGTTTTACATGTGACGCTTTAACTGTAGCTTTTTACACAGAATTGTGCTGGAATTGTAATTATATGAGTATGCTGAGTTGTGATTTGAATCGATCTTAACGTGTGTTTTAAATTAAATACGCGCCGCGCAATTTGAAATAGCAACGCAGTCGGTAAAGAAGAATTCCTACGAAGTATTCGAATCTTCGTATTTTACAAGCATTCTGTTTAAACTTAATTAGATTCAATTCATTGATTAAAACTGATTAAAATAAACGATTAAGATCTTTTTAAATCACTGTACTTTTCATGGAAACGTGATTGAGAGAAGAAGGAAAAGCTATCAATCCTTACCGTTAGAACATGTGTTCGATATCCTGCGCGTAATAAAATTATGATCTGATAGCTCCGCTGGGCCATTTATCTCAATCACGTTTCCGGGAAGATTGACGAGCGAGCAAGGTAGTTTCGATATCTTTCAGGCTTTCGCGATTCTTTCGAGTCTTATATATGAAATCTCCATTAAAATAGAATTACACTTTGTACTGTTGTTAATAATATGACAGCGTAATTTCAACTATTTTTTACACTTGAATAAATGGTTAGAAAATTTGAAATAATCTTTCCTATCTGTTGCAGAGTACGAAGAAGTGATTATTCCTCGGAAGTTCATCCAGTAAATGCTCTTTATGCTTTTGATTGTTGCTCAGAAAGCCTTGATTATGATATTGGCTTTCGGGCAATAATCATAATCACAAAAGGGCAGAACCTCAACTCTGCCTGTTGCCGATGGCACCTGTTACTTCAAGAAAGTTGCTTCAGCACAGCAGCTTCAGACTTTATTTCTTCTCGACAACAAATCATAGGATTAAAGAAGGAATATTTCTTCCTCTGAAACATACAAATTAAGAATATTGTTAGTGATGTGCAAATATTTCTGTTTATGAAGAATTTTTATTTTATATTCCAACTACGGCATGTAAAATATTTTAACTGATAGTATAATAATACTACTTAATAATGGAGCTGAGAATAAGAATGCGAAGAAAGAATAATTACACAATTAGTTGAAACTTTGGAATATAAAACGAAAAATCTATCTAGTCAGTAACATTTGAACAGTATTATCGTTACATTATTATTATCGTATTACAAGTTACATTTTACAACAGTTCATTTAGCTAATAATAATATGTTAATCTAATAATATGTTAATTTTTTTCTGTATAAATTCCCCTGTCATCATCAATACAGATTATAGTTGTTATAACTCCATGAAAACGTTCTACTAGGAATATTACATAATAATGAAATTGGATTATTACTCTGCGTTCGTAGTTTTTGTTATAAATTCACCGTTTCAGAAACTCGTTGAATACCAGACTGATTGGAAAAGATCAACGAAAGGAATCGTTTTCAATCCCTGAGGGTATTTATGTAGAAAATAAATTGGTGCTGCGCGCTGCTGTAGATCTACGCTTAAATAAAAATAACCAAAAGAAAAGACCGTCGTTCGTGATGCTGCACTTTATTCAATTTTATCCGCGATACTCTCGACCAATTCTCTTCCTCTCTGAAACGGATTAAATTATTCCTTTGAAATTATAATTGTATACTTGACTCGTGAAATCGCCGACTAATTGTTACTTGAACGATCGATTGATACCGACGCTTACAATTAATTGTACCGTCACTGATGTGTATCGTACACTCGATAATAAACGATCGTTTTGTGTGATATATTTGCCTATCTGATCTGTTTCGAATTTTGTTCATTTATCATACATTTTATATAATTTGATAACTGTTAACATTACTTTATATCATTTTCGTTATGAGTTATTGTAGTCATTTTATTTATTATACTTATTTTCAAAATATACTGTGCGTATGAGTGGAAATACATATTATTAAAGAAATACATATTATTCATAACATTCATTAATAAAATTTTCATATATTCATTTTTGTTAGATGTAAAAATATTTCTCTAGTTTTATAATATCTCCATAGTGATATATTTCTATTTTATATATATATATATATATTTAAAACTATACCATTACATGTAAAATCTTTGGAAAACGACAATTCTAATTCTCGAACGAGGAAACATATAATTTTGTTCTAATTCCAATTTCAACAATACCTCTATTTCTTCTTTAATGCTACTCTGCCAATTTCTATTTTTAATACATTGGACAAAATATCATAAAAATAATCGTTATCACTTAAATTTAGTTTACTGTTTAGTATCGTCAATATCAATTCTGACTTTACCATTCCGAAAATTCGAATCTATAACATGCCAATTTTCCAATTTTAACTCTCTTCCTCTCAATTTCTATGCTCGACAGTTCCGTCAATTCCAAGCAATTTCGTTATTCAAATATAACCGGCGGCAAAACGGATATACGATCAACGCGCGGGGCAAAAAAAAATCCGATAAAATTCATGAAAGATTCAACGTTAATTACCGAAGATGGCCCCGGCTGGAAATCCGGTTTTTATATCTACAGAGAGCACGCGATATTTCCGAAGCTGCGCGAGAACTTTCTTCTACGGTACATCCTTGTCAGCCGTCTTCGTTTCCGGGGTAAAACGGGAGGCCGAGCGAGACGTTCGGTATCGGCCAAGTTGATGGTAACAGGTTGCGACGTCCGGGCGTTTCTCAAAAACTGCCAAAAAGTCGAGGCAACAAGGGTCGACAGGTGAAGGAACGCGGACAATGAGAAATTCCGGCGCCGCGAAAAGGGAGAGACGGGTCGAGCAACGATGCATTATTTAAATTTTAAAAGCGTTTCGGAGTGCCGGCTTAATTCGACGTCTAGTTAGCTCATCCCTCGGTTGTCGTGCGTGGACGACAAACAAGCATTGAAATCGCATACGAGAGAGTTTCATCCCTCCCCTCCCCCTATGGCATTGTTGAATTACGGAGAGAGAGAATAATTTACATGAAAAGGCATTTATATTTGTCGTATTAGTAACTGATAAGAATAGAGAAACGGATAGAGATTTTTATAGTGGATACTAGAGTTGTCGTGCATGAGAAAGGAACTGGGAAACTGTATTAAAATTTACTATGATGTCGATCAATTATAATTGTCGTAATATGAGAATTCGACTTTTAGCTGAATTTCAGACTTTGTTTTTTCATCCTTTTAAAGTTAATTCCATAAATATCTGTAGCATATTTATTGGAATGTTATTGATCCTTTTACTTCATAATTTCCTTAGCAATCATTTAAATGAAAGATTAAATTTTATATATAGCTTGAATTGAAGCTGACTTTTTTATAAATATAAATACTCTTTGTTACAACTCCAAGTTATAAGCCAAGGATTTAATTATGCAGGTGTTTTTAATGTCACTTAGAGGAATAAATGAATTTAAAAATTGCATTAAAGGAAGTACAATGTGATTAGATATAGTCAGACATTGGATGGTTCAAGAATAGCATTTGAAATGATTTTAATTTCTCTTCAAATTTTAATCGTATTAAACGTAAATTAGAAAAGTGAATTTCAGAGAAAAGATACCTACTGTGTTGTTAAATGAGGACATGTGTATACGGCTATTAACAGTTATATTTTTACGATTTTCGTGATGCAAAGTGTCCGTCTCTTTAAATTTCTCGGCAGTCCTGATGATCTGTCGTTCCCCGAAACTCGTGGAAGTGTAATCCCTTGATAATACTCTGACAGAGATATCCTGAAACACAAAGCTTCGTATCATAGAATATACTATCAAATCTTAAATCTTTGTAACGTACGTTTCATTTAAATTTACATGAATTATATCATCATGATATGTTTAACGTAATACTTATAATAAATAAAAAACATGAAGGCCAAGTTTTGTTACATTTTTTTAATTTTTTTTCATAAAATGATATTAAAATGTCATAGTGCTTTTCTGTTATCCTGTGATCTTTGTACAACATACATGCACACATCTGCAAAACTTAGTATGTCAATGGGTTAAAAGCTCTGAACAGGCTAATAAGTAAAAACAAAAGGAATGAATAAACTAAAAGTCCACCAACAAACCTTTTCAATTCAATTTTCATTTCAAAAGGCACTCGTTTCAATCTTAATTTCCCGCTGATGCTAAAATTAACGCGTGAAATTTCCATCGGTGAGCCAAAAAATGTTGAAAACATTGCCTTCTTCGCTATAAATCTATATAACGCGCGAAAGCTCGATGGCAATCCATATTTATATAGTCAAAGAGGTTGACAGATCGACGTTCAGTCGCGCCTCGTTCGCCTTGCGCCAATGAATATTTCAGTCACTTCTGGCTTCAGCTGTCAGTCCACGGGACAGGATGTGCGAGAAAGAGAGGAAAGGGTGGAAGCATCAAGGGGAGAAGGGGGTGATTCAGTCGCTTCTATGTATAGAGACGTATGGCCCGACGAACTTTCGACCTGAAATGACCCGGGATGCAGACGCCTCCGCGAGTTTCCACCTTCTACGGTGGTAACCTCCCCCTTTAGCGTGCAACCATCTAATGATCGGTTTTAATCCAGGATACCCAGACGATTGTCTATGAATAACAGGAAATTACATATTTACCTGCGTGCGTCCCAGATCAACGAGCGCTCTCACGTAAAACTTGGAGTGAACGATACCCTTAATTTAATAACTGGAACCTCCATTGAACAGAACGATCGCCGTTTCGATCTTCCTCCTTTTTCCTTCGAAATTTTATGATCAGCTTAGAGACCAGGTTAATGATCGTTCAAAACGCGTGCGAATTACAGAACTATGGTTACTTACGGATAGCACGCGATGCTCGAATTATTTGCAGTGTTAGTATGCCAGGATAAATGTAATCAGGCCCCTCTTACACAATGGGAATGTATCACACGTTACAATTAGATTTTCTTGAAGGCAGATTTATGCGAAAATCATTTCCACGTTTTATCCTGACCCTTTTACAAATAGAATTCCAAACTTTCCTGAAACATTAATATCATATTCATAGTAATTTAACAATTAAATTGAAGACTCGTAAGTATACTAGAGAAAAAGTTCAGGAGTACATTAATCTAATATAATGACATGCACATATATAATATTGCAATATTGCTTTGAACGATAATCTCTTTCGATGTAATTAAGTAATTAATTGTGGCTCGAAATTAGCGGCCGTTATCATTTGCGTGAATATGATATATATATATATGTATGTATGTGTGTGTGTGTGTATGTGTTAATGTAATTAGATTTAAACACGAATGAAAACTAACCTAATATGCGGCATCATTAAAACCATGTGACTTCCAATTACGAATTTACAAAATTCCACGATAAATTAAATAAATTTACATTATCATTTAAATTTAATACATTTTGTGTTTTGAGGTTACATTGTTATTTATTTTAAAAGTTGGATCAACTTATGTCAGATTTGACGTAGCAGGAAGTGCAGAAACTGATTTCGCAGGACATTTATACAACGAATTAAATTGAGGATAACTACGAATGTCAAATCACGTCGACTGCATTTCAGTGAATGTTCATTTGGATCATGGGAGGATCGTTGAACTCAATAACATTCATAAAATGATTTTCTATAATATGCTTTCCAAAGAGAATGCTTTCCATTTTATCATAATTTTATCAGTTATTTAATAGTTAAATAATTTCAATTTACTTTATTCCGGTAACTTTCTTTTGTATTTAATTCTTTTTAAAAATTAAATTGATAAAGTTGATACTTGAATTTGTCTTGACGTGGAATTTAAAGTCCTCTTACTTTACTGATGAGAAAATGTTTCGTTATTGATTAATTTTAACTTTAATTATTTTTTAATAATTCTTCAATCTTCTTTTTTAGGTTCAATTTAAATTAATTATTATTCTTTGTTACTAAATAAAAATGAAATATTTGAATTTCTCTTGTCTGATTGATAAAAAAATTTTTATAAAATTTTATATTTTTGAAATTCTATTTGAAACGATAGTTACGAAATATTATAACAGACAACAAAAACAAATATAAGGCCTAACTATAATATTTATCATAGTTATTTTAATAACTAAAAAAAATTTTTGATGCGTTTTGACTTTTATTAAAAGAAAGTCATTAAACGAATTAAGACAAAAAAAATTGTCACAGTGGACGTTCTTTCAACAGTTCGATAAAATGCACATATTTCGCACACACAGTTACACTTTATGTACAAATTTACAATACCGTTATAATCTTTGAAAATGTTCGTTTCACGATATACATAGACTGGTTATCGTTCCGTATAACGCATTTGATAACCATTTGTTGTTACATTTCGCGAAAGTTAGAAATTTTGTAAACTGTTCAACAAAATTGACATCTTCTATCAGGCGTGCATGAGCTTCGAAGAGGTATTCTTTATTTTGCACAAAAACGGACTTCGTAACGGCGCGATTTTTGCTACCTTTCACTTGCGAATTAAAACCGCGAAGTAGATTTTCACGTTCTCGAAATTTTTTAACGTTCTAATAGTTTAAAATAATTGCAAAGAACAATATTATGCTCTATTTTATATTTATATTTTAAGTGAAATAAAAATATAAATAATGAAAAATTATATGAAAAATAAATAGAATATAATAATTACCTAATACTGTATTATTGTACAATTACTAAAGATTTAAGATTTATAATTAAGAGTAGTTTGTCTGATTAGTGAAACACGTGATACTAGTTTGATTTTACTCACATTCACGTGTATAATCACGTGTTTACGAAGTACAACGTAATTTACATGTAACGTACAAAATTTAAAATGAATGAGAATAGCGAATCGAATTTACAAAAACTTTTCGCAGAATCATTAATAAACGACAATGTTTTTATGATAACAACGACAGTAGATACAGGTAACTAAATGTTTCCTAATATTAATTAAAAACAAAAACACGTGGTTGCTTAGAGTAACCTATAAAATGTCTAATTTTAGGTTTCGAGTGGCAAGCAGTGGATGAATGTAAAGAGAAATTAAATAAAAATGTCAAAATTATTAAAGAACGCGGAAAGATTTATCTTAATGTCTTTTGGAATCAATTTGCACAAGTAAAATTATCTTTTTATTTTAAATAGCATTTTTAATAGATAAATATGTTTCTAAATATGATTATTATATTATATATTACATTAAGATTAACATTAACATTAACGTTATTATATTCTAATATACATTAAATTACATGCGACAAATTAATAATATTTTTCTTTAATTATTATTTCAGATACAAGAGATGAGATCAATAGACAATATATTTATTGTCGCAGATGTTAGAAAGTTTGAATTCTCAGGAATTAGTAAAGAAGCTGATTTACAGTTATTTAAAGATGCTGTACGTGATGATATGAAATTAAAAAAGGCTTTAAATGCTTGGAAAAATATAACTGGTTTTCAAGGGAAAATATATCCAACTACTGATGAATATAATAGAGCAGAAAAAGACCGTAAGCTTTGTAACACAATTGTTACACCAATTAAAGGCAAAAAAAGAGGGCAGGATCCATCTGACACTGAGAAAGATGAAATATTAAGGTACAGAGTAACATGTGAAAGGATTGGCAAACATATATTTGAATCAGCAGAGGTTGCTAGAGCTATTGGAGGAGAATTGCAAGATAAATATCTGTGGCTTGTAGATCTATCTACGTATTATTTAGAAGTAGTTTGCAAAGTAATTGGCAGTAAGTGAAATGTAAATTTATTTGAGGTTGTTTTGCTGTAAAAAGTAATATGTATTATACCATGAATAGATGAACTAATAACACAGTTACGTGTTACACATGAATCTAAGCATCATAGGAATATCATAAGTTTTGGACCAACTACTCTTAGAGCAACTGTATGTTATAATTTGTTAAGATTAGCTCATCCTAATCTGGGAGACATAATAATTGATCCAATGTGTGGTAGTGGTTCCATTCCAATTGAGGTAACATTTACATTTTATCATAACATAAACATATTACATTAAAAAATATGATGAAAAGTATTAATATTGAAAATTTTAGGCAGCTTTAGTGTATTCTCAATGTTATATTATGGGAGGAGACAATCATCCAAAAGCTGTATTTAGAACAAAATCTAATATTGAGGCATCTTCTTCTAAATGTAAAATTGACCTATTACATTGGAATGTGTCACAACTACCATTTAAAGATTCTTTTGTTGACATTGTTGTTACTGATATGGTAATGTTGTATTGATATACAGGGTAGGTGAAAAATCGTAGTACACCCGAACGGGATAATTCTACGTAATTGAGTAAACTTCAAATTCGATTTTCTCGAAAACGAAGCCACGGATCAAAAAATTGTATACCACATTTTTTCCTTATTTTTTTACATAGAATTAATCCCTGGCCAGTTGTATTACGATTTTTCATCCACCCTGTATATTCTTATTATGGCTTTATTTATTTACATTATCAAATAATTGTTATAGCCATTTGGAAAAAGAAGTGGACGAATGATAGATAACAGAATACTTTATAAAGAAATTTTAATAGAATTAGGACGAATAATGAAACCCTTAACAGGACGGAGTGTTTTACTCACTTATGACAGACGCAGCTTTAGCATGGTATGCAATTAAAATTTTGAAATCAGATTTATGTAGAGTTATGATCGATGTTTTTTTTTCATAGGCTTTACAAACAGCTAGAAATTTGTTTTGTGTAACAAAAACTTTGGGTGTAAATATAGGTGGTCTTCAAGCTGCAGTTTATGTGTTAAAACGAACAGATATGTCCTATGAACAATTTAAACCGAAATTTGTTAAACACAACGTATAAAAAGAAATAATTTATGTTATAAAATAAATTTAAATACCTTTATATTACAAGTTCATATTTTGTAAGAGTTTAATAAAAAGAAGTTTTTATATTTCTTATAAAAAAGCTTTTTATTATTTATTTGAAGTAATAAAACACCTTTGTATTAAATAAATTTTATAAGAAGAACTTTCTTCTACTAGTTTCCATATCATGCCTTTTTCCTTGTATGAGCCACTCATATTCTCCATATTTACTGTCAAATGTTCCATGTTGTAATGATTTTAATTTTAAGGTAAATCTTGGTCCTAACTCTCTTAACCTGGGTTTACCTCTTTCCATGTCAAACTGATACCTGCAATGTTATTTATTTAGTTATTTATATTATATTATCCATAATAAATAATGAATTATATACCTATGATGTCTGAAGAATATATAATCTCTTTGATTATGGAATGTTACTACCCTCTTGCCTTTAAATTCTGGTTCATAATGAAATAGTGCTCCTAACATTCTACCAATTGTACAACCCAAACGGGTAGTGAAATTGTTTAAAATAACTTCTGGTCTATGTTCAGAAATTTCTTTATGATTACGTTTTAAATCTGTTGTTAATTTAACATTACTAAGTTTAAAGTGTGCTGTTGGTCCATCAGGTAAATGAATAATTAACATACCATCTACGAAGATTTATAAGGAAAACGTTAACTATAAATAATAATATGTTGCCTTTAAATAATTCAGTTGTTATAAGGATACTTGGTTTGCATTGATCTTCATTAACAATTATAATGTCAGTGAAATTCCTTGCAACGGCACTTTTTACCATTTTCTTTACACCAGAACGATTTCTATATAAAGAGACAGAATTTGGTATTATTCTTGTTAATTCTCTTCCAAAAATTCTATTCTTTCTTGTTGGATTATCACTAAAAGTAATCAAAACTTTGGGTTCATAAGCATGCTTGTAGTAAGCAGCAAATTCATCATGTTCAAAATCAACTTTAAGTTCTGCATTCTCTTCATCATCAAGATCACCAGTGACAGTAGTCTCATCTTTTTCTCTTAAGCTCTCAATAGTATGTGGAACTTGTTTTGGACCACCTTCTTGAATTCTTTTCTTTTTGGCTTCTTTTTTTGCCTTTGCTTTCTCTTTCATTAACTTCTGACATTTCTGATAACGAACTGCTTTACACTTTATGTGATTAAAATTGCTGTCAGAGGGCAAAATAACCTCTGATGTTTTGTGTTCTGAAGTACTAGGTTCTTCTTCATTTTTCCTTTTTTGAACTTTACTTAAAGGATTTATTCGTAAATTTTTGTGCTTCATTTCGACGAATTGTTTAGTATAATTAATATAGAAAATTAATATTCTGAACCATGTGTAACCATGTGTAACCAAGTATTATACACGTGAATTCTCGATAGTCAGGTTATAATAGGTTAGTCTAGTGTAGTCCATTGCCGCCAACTTTCAAATATCACATGAAAGTTTTAAGGATATACACTATTATTTTTATTTTACATTAAAAAATTAAAACATATATTTATATGTATTAAATGCATGTACATACACGTTGTTTTGACATAAAATATACTTTTGATAATTCTAACAGACAATTTAATTTATGTACACTTAAATGTAATATTGGAATAGAATTTTTTACACATGGAGCTTTGTTAAAATTTAACTGTACAACTTATTGAAATATATTTATACACAAATATCAGATGTTATACTTGGATAATTTTATATATATAATAAAACATTATGGGAATGAATCCTCTTTTCAAATATTTTGGTGTTAAAATGTTTTGGTTAGAAGAATTTTAAAGTTACCCATAATACAAAAAAGATACATATAGAAAACAACACCAAATATAAGATGTAATAAGCATGACTTCCTTTGGATAAACGTAATACACGTGCAACTGAACTTGTTAATAAACCACTTGTCCTTTCGAAATCTTCATCCTGATAACAAAAAATTTCTTCTACATATTTCTATTTTCAATATATATCCAAAAGATCTTGATTAATACTGATAAGTTATTCACCATTCCGCGGAGCATTTTATCCTGATATTGTACTTCATTTCCAATGTCAATCGACAATGACTTTAGAGCATGAATTTTGTCTTTTAAATGCTCTGTCATTGTTTCATTCTCGTCTTCCAAACCTCCATGGCTGGATGTGGTTGGTAATGGTTCATAAGCATAATCTATCAAAAAGTATCAAATCATATTATAATAATTAAACATTATATTGAACTTTTAACATTAGTTAACTAACTTGTATGAGTCCTTCGCATTTTATTCTCAATTTTGGCGGTTAATTAAGATACTTCTGTAGCAAAGCTTATAGTAGAGCTAAATAATAAAAATATCACAAAACATTAGTATAATAAAATATAAATTAAATTAAACAAGCAATTAATTACAGTTCTAATTTTAATTATATATATTTTCATAATTAAATATATATAATAATAAATAAAGAAAAGTAGTTACAAATATTTATCGTTTGTTTTAATTTTTTACTACTTTTAAATGACTTAATAAAATATAACATAAATTTCATAAATAAAAATCTATATTTTTAATTCACTTAAAGTTTGAATGAACATGTAGTATGCAACATTTCAATAAATTGTTTTTTTAGCCAATATTGTATATCCATAAAATCATAATGAAAATATTTTAGCTATTTTCATACATATTATTAAAATATATCGTTAAAATACAATTATAGACAATACAAAAAGAACTGTCAATGAGGCAATCATACCATGCGACTACAACACGTTATGTTACGGTTAGTGATATATGTCAACGTCACATATGGTTTGTATTCAGGATTACCAACTCATATGTATTGAAACAATGACTTCGAAGAGTAATTTTGTTAAATATAATGGAAATTATTTTGAGAAATAATTTATGTAGATGTACTTCATTACGCACTATTCGATTAAACAAGTTAAATTCATTCAATTAGTGAAATTTAAATCTAGTTAGAAGAACTTCGAAAATCGAAATCTGTTTATTAAACTGACGTTAAAAAATAAAATTATGTACACTTTACTAAATCAATTATTTTATTCAATAGATGAGAAAAATTAAAAAGTGGAGTTTTTTATATTTTGTTCCAAGTTGGATAATGTTACAGAATGACATACGAAATGCGCGCGCAATGATTACACCGCCAAATCATATGTATGTAATACATTTGTTGCGATAATCAAGTCTAATCAATATTTTTAGCGATCGATCTATAGTATTGTGTAACAATTGTGTCAGTTTTTGGCGGGAAGTGCAGGAGGAAGGAGCTAGAGTGATAAATTGTCAGGTAAAGGCTACAACTAGTAGGTTTTAGATTTATGTTTGCACATTATTGAGTGTGTCTATGATTTAGAACACTGAATATTTAATTTATTTAATATAAATTTTCTTTTTTTCTTTTATAGAGAAAGAGAAAATTTATATTTTTGATTACATTTTGGTTCATAGCTCGTGTTACATATGAGCTTTCAAAACAGTATTTCATCATCTTGATTATTGTCTCATTTTTATATGATTTATTCCGTTTATGCATTTATTTGAATATTTTGGTGTTCTTTTATACAGATTATTGGTTGTTTGAGAAGAAAATTTCGAAACATGAAGAGAAAATCACGAAATTTAAGAACTCGTTACGGTGAGTAATGATAAATTTAATAGTAATATTTGATTCTAATAAAAGCTGACGTATTTATACGTTTGTATTTTCTGTTCATTGGATAACTTCTTAAGTTCATTTATGACTTCTTAAAATGATTTATATTATTTTCGGAACAATTTTATATCATTTTCGGTACAAGTTTGAACACATTCTGCGCATCGTACTACGCAGCTTCGTTTAACCGACCAAAAAAGACCGCCATATTAGAATCTTTACATATAACATATATTCCAATTACTTGTATTATGCTTTAATTATTATTAATTAAAATTTTTTTACATTAGAATTTTGATTCTTATAATAAAAGTACATTAGAATTTTAACTTTCTTTATTATTAATGTCTTTTTTAAATTAAATTGTAATAATTTATATTTTATTAAAGGTACTTCATTTCTTCTTCTTCTTCTTATTCCGCGAGGACATAGTGGATGGAACAAGACTTCAGAAGCAAAAAATGTGAGTAACTTTATGTTTTACTTTATACTTTATTCAATTCTCTTCATTGCATTATTGTTACGTTCTTTTTCATCTGATTTGCCAGATTCAAATTTTCTTGAATTTTCTTGGAACTAATAAGTAACATTTAAATAATGTATTATAGTAAATGTTAATCATGATGATCATGGAACATTAAACTTTTTGAGATCATACATTTACTTTTTATTATCATTAGTATATTTATAAAGATTAAGGATTTCATGTAAGTTTATGATAATATTTATGATAAAGTGAAAACATTGATTTGTAATATATTGTTTATATTAATTTTTGGTAAATTTTACATCATACAATTATCTTATATTGTTTCTTCTCAAGTTTATTATCAATTACATGTTAAATATAAAGGCACAAACAATGAAAAGTAGTTATCTACTTTCTAGATTTTTACGAGTCTATTACTTGATTCAGTACTATCTTTGATACATAATCGTCACTTAACGTTAATAGAAATTCTTAACGGTAGGAATACTCGTTATAGCGTTAGCCTAAATCTTTGATGTTGAACTTAAATACGTTCATTATTTCTAAATATTCACAATCCTATGTGTGAAAACGTTCAACGTTAAGGTTTTTCTTAGACATCCAATTCCTAACACGAAGGTAACACGAAGATAAACGAGGAATGAAATAAAATTACATTTTTGTATTTTCTTCTATACGATATAATATATATGTACCCTGAAATAATGTCAACAACTATTAAACTCATTGTCAGTAGATTTATCTCGTATGCCCTTCGATATTTTATTGTTATCCACGGATGTTATATTTATACTTTCACATCTATAACATTTCTACTTTAACATCGAACGATCATCAATAAGTTCTACAAATTTCTCCGTACATAAATTCAACATTAGTCGCGAAAATTACAAATCTCGCGTTTGTGCACCATGTAATCATTACACATATATTGTTTTCCACTATTTGTATCAGTACACAGTTATTCTACTGATAGTTTGATCCCCAGGATTTAACGGAAATTAGGCCTGACAGTCGAATATGTTATAGAGCATGTATAAGAAAAACTTTCTGCGACAAGAAATTCAGATTTTTTGTCGATTCGTTTTTTGGAATGTTCAATGCCACAGGATGTTGGAAGACATTACGTACTTGATTCTTTCTCTGTGACTCGCATTTATATATAAGAAATTTTTTTGTACTTTCACATATGGTTTCTAAAAATTTAAAAATGAAATTTTGAAGGTAATCATTTTAATTACCGTTTCATATTCTCTCGTGACATCGTATAAAATTTATCAACAATGAAATTCATCCTTTCTGGATTCATCTTTTCATTTTAATAGCACCTAGAAAGATGTTTCAAACTTTATACAAATCCTTTCTATCTACTAACGATGCGAAACAACGTGTTTCACATATATCCTTCCTATCAACTAACTTTACAAAACATTCTCAAACTTTTCTTGAATAATTGTATACAAAGTTGAGCAGTTAAATAGACACTTTAAATTAAATGCTTGCGCCGAGGCTGATGAATGATTAGGCAAGAACATGATTGTTTTATCCTAAAAAGTTAACACTGTAAAATATCGTAAATCGACGATAAACACGATAGCAATAAATATAGGAAACACGGAACGCCGATTGTATTGTTGCTTACTTATACGATAAGATTATAATGAAAACTATTTGATAGTATGTTAAAAAAAAAGTCTTCGGATATCATGAATTATTTAGCAGAATATTTTGAAGTGTTCAGAGAAACTGTTGAAGAATGGATTCGTCGAGATGGAGCTGGGCTTACTGGGGCTGAAGGGGAAGGGCCAGTAGGTGTTGTTGGTTTAGAACCTCTCCTACGCCTCATCGATGAGTATGGACTTGTTCCTCTATTCACACGCTCGTGGGCATAAAGTAATACGCCGATATCTCGATTGCCCGCTTCTAATGCAATTTTTAGAGCAGAACTACCATCTATATCAACGATTGATGGATCACAGTCTGGATGCGCAAGTAACAATCGTACAATGTCCGTGTGTCCGTGTTCCGCGGCACACATTAAAGCTGTACTGCCATCTTCATCTTGAATGTTAACTGCTGCTCCAGCATCCAAGAGTAATTGAGTCATATCTTTACGACCATGAGATACTGCCAACATCAAGGCAGTTTGACCATGCTAGAAAAGAATGCAATTACTAGATTATTAATACCAGAAAAAAAAAAAAGAAAAATAAGACCATCATCATTACTTAAGATCAAAAAAAGACCAAAATCATTACTTAAGATCAAAAGATCAAAATCATTGATTAAGACCAAGAGATCAAAATCATTACATAAGATACTCACTAATTTTGCTCGAATATTAACATCTGCAAGTTGGAATAATCTGTTAGCCACTGAAGCATGAGTGGAATTTCTGACTTCAGCTAGAGCTGCCAGCATCACAGCTGTGTATCCAGCCATATTTGCTTTGTTAATATCACAAACTTTTGAATCAAGAAGTATAGATACGACATCAAAATTTCCATGAGATACTGCATAATGCATTGCAGTATTCCCACTTGAATCAGTCATGTTAACAATATACTCCAATATAGAACTTGAACATTCTTCAAAACAATCTAAATAATCTTCTACTTCTAAGGGATTGGCATTCACTGTGCTGGAGACTTTGAACCATTCTTGTTGGATGATGTTAATAGCATTTTTCATTTGATGAGAGATGTTTTTGCTAGGAGATTTTTTAAGACTGTCATTCAGAACTTTCATGGCGGCTTGCATCTCTTTCGAAGGTTCAACTTTTTTCCTGGGCTTTTCTTGTATAGGTTGAAATAACGCAGACTCTGGAAGTTCTTGTTTTTCCTCGCTATCTGTTTGTTTTTCTGTATTATATATATCCTCTGATTTGTCATCTTTTCGTTTTTCCTCTTGCAACTGCTGGATACTATAATAAAGAAAATATAGAAGTAATAAAGGAAATAGAAAAGAAATGCAGAAATAATATATATATATAATAAAGAAAATACAGAAAAATACAAATATCATAAAGGTTTATGAATTTTCTTAGTTTAAATTTCTCTTTTATTCAAAAGGCTAAGTGGAGTAAAATAATTAAAGAAAAAAACTATCAATTACCCTTTCTCAACGAAACAAGCAGAATTTATTTCGGTGAGTTCGGTATCGTTAACTAAACGAGTAGCGTGTTGTTGTTGCTGCTGTTGCAGCATCGATTTGTCGAGATCGGATACACGGTTTACTTATTTACCATAATCCGCAATGAGCTTTAAGTACACTTTTCTTGGCACTGACCTCTACGTTATTTACAATTTGACCTCTACACTCTGCTCCTTAAGAATACTTATGACGCATAGGACGCGCAACCATGGAATCCGAAAAAACCAACAAATCTTTGACATGCGCTAACTATGCGATAGGTTGATTCTCCACGACGTTAACTTCTTTACCATCTTTTTACCGAACTACCCTTGGTGTAAAACTCTTCCACCCTACAGATGGCGTACTTGCTATCTTTCAGCGTTCATATCAACGAATATCGAACCATTTTATAAAATAATTTTTTAAAAAACTTTTCCTCCCCGGAACCTTTTTTCCTACTTTTACGTATAAATTTGTGCTTTTAAATAAAATTAACAGTATTTACTTAAGTTTACTGTTAAATGGAATAATAATAATTTATCATTATTATGTTTCATTGAGAAGAGTAATCAACTGACGTAAGAAAGACGAGAGAGAGAGAGAGAGAGAAATGATAGAGATGTTATCGTTAAATAAATTACTAACCGATTGCTATTGTCATATTGTTCCTTGTTATCGGTATCGTATCTAATCACACTCGCAGCTGGTATCTTCGTGTAGGTATCCTGCCGCTTGAATTGCCTCCTATAATCTACCGTGTTATTCAACGGTATGTGAGACGGTCTCGGTATCCTCGAGACGAGATTCGTGTTTTGATGATTCATATTGTTCTCCGCGTTGTTGACGATCTGCTTCGCCAAATTCTTTATGGTCTCCTTGCAATTGTCGCAGTAATTGGCAGCGCACGAGATTGATATGTGAGGCTTGACCGACTCGCCAACCGAGACGTCGGCGAATTTCTTTTTTATCGGCGATGTGCCAAACTCTCGTTTCCTTGGCGCTAGACCGGAAGTGTCGGTACTCTTCGCCGTGGTCCTCACCAAATCATCCACCATCACGCTAACCGATCTCGTAGGTTTCCTCTTCAGCTTGTTGTCGCCGTAATTGAACGAGTGACTTCTCGAGTTCATCGAATGTAAAGATAACGACTGCGTTGCAAGCGGATCGGGACCAACGCCGATGGTCCTCGTCCCGGGGCCAGTTCTGACCTCGATTCCAATTTCGGACACCCTCGGTTTCACCGTCACTCCCACGTTCGTCTTCAGTTTAAACGGCTCCGCCACCTGAACCGAATGATCCCTCTTCTCGATCATTTTCGTCGGATCTAGGTTACACTGGCAACCTCTGGAAATTGTGTCTTTGATCAAGGTACTCTTGTAAATCCTGAGAGCGTCGTCCACGATAACCGCGACATCATCTTTCGTTAAAACGTCCTTCATGTGTAACCCTGTCGCTGTTCCGCACGATCTTCTCTTCGCTTCCCTCTTTACCTCCGGCGCTATATCTTCGATTACAAATCGGCTGTGTACGAGATATCGCATTCTGTTTCGCGTGTTTACCCCAACATCGCGAAATTTCTTCGTATCTCTGGCCAGCTTCGGACTCGTCGGTGGTATCGATTCCATCTGAAGCGGACTTCTTTTCAAACGATTCCTCATCTTTAATTCCGGCGTTGCACGGTCTTCGTACATCGGTTGGTCACGAGTTACGATCGACCTCCAACTGTCGCGAGAATCGCTCGAGTATAGTTTATCAAGGCTCAGTGACGTTCGATCGTCGAACAATGTGATCTGGTCTTTAATTTCAGGTACGATTTCTTCGATCTGCAATCGACTCCGTTGCAGGGATCGTTTTATCGGCGTGCTCGTTATCATGCCGATATCTCGGGTTCGAACCTGTGACAATACAACGTATTAGTACGTCTATGTACGTAGATGTGCTTGCCATGAGTATTGGGACACTTGGTATTTCCTGTTTTTATTTGTCAGATGTCTTATGGTACATTGAAATATATTATAATCAGAATCGAAGCTCCCATTTTAAACTTACGTTACTTTCAAACTTCAATTGAAAGAGATGATATTTCATCTCTTGACCTTTGACCAGGCAAAATTCATTTTTCTTTGAACGAGCATAATTTCAGTCGTTTTAAATCTCTGTCGGTCGAAGATAAAACGGGCTTTTTGTAACTTCAAGACTTGACCTTTCGATTATTTCCTCACAAATCGACGTTTTATAATGTAAGATGTCAAATAAAGTGAAATTTATGACAGTCAACCAACAAATGTAATTTGATGTCCTAATATACATGATCGATGAACAAATTTTCATTTAATTTGATTAACGTCGCAATACGAAGCGAGTTGAAAAATATGTTTTCGCGGAAACTGGCTAACGACAGTTAATTATTAATACAGAGTTCCCTTCGATTTAAGCATGATAAAAAAAAAAAAAAAAAACAATCTGGGGAGTTTTCATCGACTTGACTTTTAATTTAATTACAGGGGTCAGGTCAGAGTATGATGCGAATGAAATGCACGCAATTATCCATTTCCCTTTAAATACAAACGGCTTTCAGAAAGCGGAATATCGAGGTCATTAATCAGCAAACGCCGAACAATAGAGAGATGTCCCTCGTTTATTAAAGGAGATTTAATAAAATAAACCGTTCAATAAAAAAATCATATATTATTACTTCTTTATGGTTGGCTGATTCGAGAAACGAATTCAACCTCCTGCGCTGGAATAACATGCCACGCACGTCGAGAATTTTTTGTCGCAAATCAATATTCCCTCAGTTCTAAGTACATTTAAATATAAATCCAAGCAAAACAAATGTAAATTAAATATAAATCCAAGCAAAACAAGCTTATGACTTTTTAATCATTTCTATCCGACGAGTTCGAAAGAAAAAGAAAGCGACGAATTAACTGTATACGGTCCGGTCGCTCGTTATGGTCCGCGCGAACCAGTTGCCGGCGCAAGTGATTAAATCCGTTGCTCGTCCCAACAAAAAGACGCAAACGAGTTGAAAAAACGACTAAAAAAAAAAAAAAAAACGCGACAGGAGAATCCTTTCTTCCATGCAGATGTTAACAAGGCTAATAGAAAGGTAGCTCGGCACATATTCATAAGAAACCGAGGTAGAAACTGCGTGAAATTAATTAATCGGATGGAATCATCCTGCCGAAAAGAGAACCGACTCGCGTTTCGACGAAACCTGTAACTTAAGCGCGGACTTTCTCACCAGGTTCGATAAAAAAAAAAAAAAAAAAAAAAAAAGGCAACGTTCGCCTAACCATTTTATTGCCCGTGCAATTAAAAGCAGAATACGGAGTAATGCATGCAAATGTTTCGTCTACGGTCCGTTGAAGTTTCGTTTCGAACGCCGACGTTCGTTCTCAACGCGTTACGGTTTCTCTCAAAGCGCCGCGGAGAACCACAGAGCGAGAGAACAAAGGAGATCGGAGTCGTCGATAAATCGAGGCGTGAAACGGAAGTCGACGGCGTACCTGCTGGTGCGAAACACCGACGTCACGTGTCATCACGCCGCACATCGTTCCCATGTCTCTCGTCGGAGTGGCCGCGTTCCTCGGATTTCGCTGAGAGCCACGTTGTTCCGAGAACGACTGGCTCCGGTGCCTGTGCAATACGCTCTCGTTGCATTGCCTCGTTCTGTTCAGCTCGTCCACTTGTCGCAGCAGATTTCGCTTCTCCTCTTTCAGCACCGACACTTGCACCTGCGTGAGAGAGACTATTTAACGAAGTAATTTGGAACGTTCGCTTCGACGAATCTCGCAGTTTAGCATTTTAGAATTTCGCGAATTTTTGACACTTGGGTATATTAGAAAACTGCATTAGTTTATTATATATTAGTCTGCACGGCTCTGAATTTGAAAATTTTGCACGTTTAAGATTCGATGAATATATATATATATATTCGTTGGAAATGTTGAAATTTGAGAAACGTTTCGAGTTATTTTGTAAGTTTTTAATTATTTCTGCGACGCGGGCGTGATATGGGAGAGAGATCGTTTGATGGCACTCTAAAGAGACATGTTTAATATTCACCAACTTTGCCATTGAAATTAAGGTCGAAGAATTTACCTTTGACGCGAAGCTACAACGTTAAATTTCAGCCCGGCAACTATTAATGAAAGCTCTGCTTCCGTTCTGTGTCAACGATAAACATGATAGGCTTGAAACGTGGCCAGTGCAATACTCGGTGTATTTACACTTTGCTCGATGTAATTACGTTTCGTTAACGGAAGTATCGCAACCGAAAGAAAGAAGTTAACTCGTGACTCATACACCAACGAACGATCTCTAACAATAGAGAAGAACACATTGAACGAAATGCAAGTTGCTCTTCCTTCTTTAAAGTTTTAAATTAACTTTGAAGTTTAAAATTTGGTATTCAAACGCAACAGGTCGTTGATCTACGATTTAAAAACAATTATGTTCCTTCGTTAAAGTCGAATTAAACGCGCGATTCACGCGGATGCGCAGCGAGAAACGTGAACAAACGTCAGGTTGAAGTCGAAATTACAGTGTTTACCTGTAACATGGGAATTGCCTTGACCTGTTCCTCCAACTCCCTCATCCGTTCTAACGACGCCGCCATTTGCTCTCGGATATTCTACAAATATATGTATATATATACACACACTCGTGTATACTCAGTGTAATACAATTTCATTGTCAACTGGAGTTCGATTTTATTTTACTTGTTGCTCCTACCTGTAACGCGCCTGTACTGAAATTCGAGTTTCCACTTCCGACGCTCGCGTTATCGAAATCACCCCCTGTGTGCTCCGTCGGCGCGTTGTTTTGCACTGGCGTCGCCGTGTTCGTTCCATCTGTAGGAATTTTTTTTTCTTTTTCATCAGTTATTTTCCATCTTTCGATTTTTATTTAACGTACTTTACACAGTCGAACTTTCCAATTTTTTTTAGTTAATAAAATAGTTCAGATAAGATCGTCTGCGTTTTTTTTAATTAACAAAATAAACAAGAAATAGAAAATGATCTCATTTCGATTTAAAGAAAGAGAAAGAGGACAGATTCATCTTCATAACTGCGAAATAACATGAATTTGTCATCTTTCGATCTTTATTTAACTAACTTTACACAGTCGAACTTTTCAATTTTTTTTTTAGTTAATAAAATAGTTCAGACAAAATCGTCTGCGTTCTTTTAATTAACAAAATAAACAAGAAATAGAAAATGATCTCATTTCGATTTAAAGAAAGAGAAAGAGGACAGATTCATCTTCATAACTGCGAAATAACATGAATTTGTCATCTTTCGATCTTTATTTAACTAACTTTACACAGTCGAACTTTTCAATTTTTTTTTTAGTTAATAAAATAGTTCAGACAAAATCGTCTGCGTTCTTTTAATTAACAAAATAAACAAGAAATAGAAAATGATCTCATTTCGATTTAAAGAAAGAGAAAGAGGACAGATTCATCTTCATAACTGCGAAATAACATGAATTTGTCATCTTTCGATCTTTATTTAACTAACTTTACACAGTCGAACTTTTCAATTTTTTTTTTAGTTAATAAAATAGTTCAGACAAAATCGTCTGCGTTTTTTTAATTAACAAAATAAACAAGAAATAGAAAAAGATCTCATTTCGATTTAAAGAAAGAGAAAGAGGACAGATTCATCTTCATAACTATGAAATAACATGAATTTGTCATCTTTCCATCTTTATTTAACGTACTTTACACAGTCGAACTTTCCAATTTTTTTTAGTTAATAAAATAGTCCAGACAAAATCGTCTGCGTTTTTTTAATTAACAAAATAAACAAGAAATAGAAAAAGATCTCATTTCGATTTAAAGAAAGAGAAAGAGGACAGATTCATCTTCATAACTATGAAATAACATGAATTTGTCATCTTTC